AAAAAAAATGGGAGCTTTCAATGCTTAATTATGCACAAAATTATAAATTTGAAATTTTTTCAATAACATTTATAATTTCCTTAGCACGACCGTCAGTTTGACTATCTTGGAGTTTGTCAAGCGAGATAATTTCATGTCATAGGCGAACCAGTAGTCAACCTAAATATATCGGTGTAATACATCAAAAAATCAGGATAAATAACTCCTCAAATATTGACAAACCTCTAGAAAAAAACACATCCTGTAGTAATGCTAAATTACCATAACTATCAATAATTATGTGTTCTTCAAATCGAACTAATATGACTCATTCTTTTCCAGGTTGTTTTGTAATTAGGTCGATATGTTTTCGATGAGATTTATTGATAAATGTAAACGGAAGCTAGGTTTGCAAGTTTATCGATTGTGTTTACAATTATATCAGCAAAGTATCATTCAAAAAGCTGTTGAATATGATTCATGTGAGATATAGCACAATACCTTTGTATCTTATGATAATCATTTCATAAACCATTAGGATGACGATATTCGAGCGAGTCAATATAGTGTATTTAGTATCCTCAACAAGTGATTTTATTACACTTCTATAGCACGTTTTCAGTTTCACTGAACTATGCTTAAAATGTTTTGTGACTTCAATGGTGATTTAGTAGCTATCCTGACACGATCTATATTTATCTATAAAAGACTTGTCAGTTTCGGTCCTAAGCATCAGTGGGAAGATTCAAACAAATCGATAATAATGAAATCTTTGCATAAATTTGCAAGTAATTTGCTATGTTAGTTTACTCGTTGAAGAACTTTATTTACGAAATATATTACAATTTAAGTCGAAAATAATTTCACCTTTGATCAGACCTTTTTTTTTTTATGGTATATTAAATCCATAAAGGTATTGTGTGTAGTTATGTCACACACGTTGCCCGACCATTTTAAAGAGTTTGTATTTAAAAGTTTTAAATATTAGGTTTTTCTGTTTAAATTAAAGCAAATAAGTCTGTGGTTACCACCCTTATTGTAAAGAATATTATTTACTGTAATAGATTGATTTATCGTACAAACCATGAACTATGCCCATATACTGTGAATTATCTCAAGCAAATCAGTCAGTTTATTTAGTATAAAATATCTCCGACTTGTGATGTACATGTATTTTTATGCAGTGACTACGAATAGGATCTGAGACGAATGTTTTGTTGTATTCAATGGGTATTTGTTCGATGCCTACTCATTTGATTGTTTATATTCCCATTGGATATAGGGTTATGGATATACCAAGGTGATGTTTCGATCAATTTTGAGTCAAGTACAAGTTTATAAATATATATATATATATATATATATATATATATATATATATATATATATATATATATATATTGATTTTGGTATAGAATCGATGACTGACCTAAATAATAGAATATATGTACATATAAATACGTATAGACATTTTGTATGTAAATCAAATAACTACTATAACAATAGACAAGCAATAAAAAATGTTCCTCAAAGCATAAAAACAACAAAATAATCTAACAGCCAATTAGGATTTAATAGTAATAAAATCTAAATATCGATAAGAACTGAATCTTATCACTGATAGAAATACTAATAAGGATAAATAATGTAACTAACTGTTTTGTTAGTGTACAGTTTATTTTTCCACAAACATTTAAGGATGTACATGTGTGTTTGCACAGTTGAACGTGTATGAGGGTTCATTGTTTATTGACATTGTGTATAATGACTCCCTATGTTGGTATTTAACTAATGATATTTGGTAAGAAACCTTTTTAACATTGAATAGCACGAAATGAGGCTTGATTCAGAATTTATTTGTTATAGAAACATTGTTTAAATGGAATTTTAGGTATGCTCAGTAGCAATCACATCAGCAGCATATTTACCTAAGCAATTTTTACTCTATATTTATGAATATTTTGCAGAAGTTATGGGTCATCCAAATCTATCCATTTTTCATTGTTTGATGAGTGTGTGGTATGCAGCATTTTCAGACATTATTATGCTCATTTTGTGAGTAAATGTTGTACATAACAGTGAAGTTTTTTTTGAGATTTCATCTTAAGACCTAGCGTTTGAAGCAAACAAATAAGGATAAGTTCATGCGCCTAGAATGAAATCTCAAAAGCCCACTAAATGAGTAGAATAATGCCCATAAATGCCGGATACAGTACACTTAACAAACAGTAAAAAACGAATAAATTTCAATCAGGAGATCATATAAAGAGAAACCTAACTATAATAAATCACTATTATTTGAACTTCGCTTTGAAGGAATACAGTGGATCATAAAACTTTTTTTAGTGAATGAAATATGATTTTTATGTTACAATAACGAAAGTTACGACCTTTTAACAGTGGGATACAGTTCTAGTGGACACAATGTTGTCAGTAATCCGACAGTTCTGAAAGATCATATGGAGGATAATGCGTAACTACAATAATTGTCAGTAAATTACTAGCTAACAATCATTAATGTTTGAAAGATATTTCAAGCATGTTCACTTTGTCTGAAATATCCAGTATGTGTATGATTTTGTGGAAGAAAATAACTTGGAATAATTGATGACTTAGATATTTGTGGCCGACGTCAATTATTCGAGTTTGTGAGCATTCATCACCCGGCCATAATCAATTCCGATAACCGATCGATTACTCAATGGATATTTTTTGAGCGATGTGAACACTGATTCAGACATAATTTGAAATGTCAACATAGATAAACACCATAGCATTTGGCTAAAGAGTAGAAATTTGTTGCTTCATTCAGTCCATTTGACGAATGAAGTTTTCATTGCTTACTATTGACTGACTTCATAGATGATCATTAGTTAGTTATTAAAAAAAACCATTAAAGAATAAAAGATAATTATTTATTTAAGTTTTAATAATTAAACCATAAATTAAAGATATCCTCATTTAATTATGCACAAGTTCAAGTGATTGCATCATACACATTTACCTTTGGATAGAAAACTAGACAATATCAGTTAGAAACATTTTTACATAAACAATGAAAACCTCAATTGTTTTCCAAACTATTAACACTAAATTCAATATCATCGTTATGATATGTTGATTTCATAGTAGTTTAGAACATTCTAACACTAATTATTGGAACGACTGATTTAAACAAGTTTTGTTAAATATTAATTATAAATTAATTTTTGTGAAATTATTCCATGACACTGTTTTCCACTGTTTTCATCATGATTCTCAACATGATAACAGGCTTCATTAGATACTGAAAGTTTGAAATGTTTACAATCCAGAGCTTGTTTGTTTAGTTTGGTCATAATTTTCATGCAAAACAGCGGCAAAGTTCATATCCAATTATACATCATTAATAGAATTTATAACTTAATTGGATAGAGTAAATTCGATTTCTATCAGATATACGATATAATACAGTTTTACGAAACATATTAATTTCATATTGATTGTAGTGTTGCGAAGAGTGCTGTTTTTCATCGAAAGTGCTCAACTAGTAACTTAGCTTCGGTAGGAAATTTCCGGAATTCTAGTGACAAGACGTGACCAGTGGAGTTCAACCCTTTTAGATGTTGGCCGTAAGTACCGAAAATAGTGGGTGAGGTTGCACAGTACCTTAGATTGATCAAAATTAAACATTGACATTGTTGGTCTAGAAATTAAGCGTTTCCATGCGAGACCAAAGTCCCTGGGTCCCCAATTCCTGCGAGCGAAATGCTGAAGTGTCCCATACTAGGACGAACTGGCTGGCCAGTGCTTCCAGATTTCTAAAGATTGTCCAACAATGATGGATTGATTGATTGATTGATTGAATTTATGGATATCCATATTATTTTTTGTAGACGTTACATTTACATTGATGTTTTATCGGAATAAAGGGCAAAATTATTCAATATAACAAAGTAGTAGTATTCAATGGTTTTATATAGGAATATTCTACCAGTGTCATTTGAATTGATGTAAATAATATAATCGAGCAATAGCTACGCCTCATAGAAATCATGTTATCGACACAAAAATTTCAAATAAACAATTTCAAAAATCTAAAAAAAAACACTTTTCGATAAAATAAGATTATTTATTGGCAGTTAGGCACTTGACACCAATAAATAAATTGGTGAAATAAAATGAAATTTATAGGTCATCTCATTCACTAATTTATAAAATCAAAAACTTCACCTTTAGGACAATTTCAGTTCACTATTATAAAAGTTAATTATTTATTCACTGAATTCAATTGATAATTTATTTTCTTTCATGAAAAACCACATAAAGTTAAGCATATTCGCGATAACCGATTAAATTAATAAGCATGAAAATGTATTTGCATATGCTTGAAAAAAATCTAGCAAACTGATCAATTGTTGACATCTACATTTGAGCATAAGAAGATGATTGAACTGGTGAAGACTACATATTCTAGATACTACTACTAGTACTACTACATTAATTAATGAATTTTTATAGTTGGCGTAGTGAAAAAAATATCAAGGCATACCATAAAAACTTGGTGTTACTGATAGAAGAGAACAGTGATACCAATTCTGTAATTGCTGATTCATCTGACTTTCAGTCACGTTATTAGATGAGAAAGTAAAAAATTCAAGTTTCAATGAAGTTTTTTAAATTAATCTTACTAAAAAATGATGCGACTGGTTTAAATAATTGCTAGAATAAGGCTTATTATAGATAACGTACAGAAAACAATACAAAACAAGAGAACTGGTTGAGAAACTAAAATCTTGGAAATACTATGAATTTTTTTCACAAGACGACATGTATTTAAATTTTCCGTCTAGTGGATTTCATTTATTAATCGAATCGTGATTATCGATGTAGTACACACCGTTAAAACAAATACTATGCTTCGCTTTGAATAGAAAACCTAAGACTAAAGTATACAGAAGGATGTCATAAAATAACTGATGCTTATGAAAATATTATTAATATAAGAGTAATAATAATACAAAGCAAAATACACGACCTACTCTTTGAGATGTGAGAAAGTATCACTTCTACTCAGCGGAAAACAATCATTAGTACCATTAATTTCCGGTTCAAATAAAGACGATGACATAAAACTATTTGGATTGCCAGAATTATCAGACATCGGTGATAATGTATTGAAAATATTTAGCCTTGTTGTATTATTCGCCATTGTGTTTTTATCAAAAGTTGAATTTTCTGTATCTAAAAAGGAAAGCAAGCATACAAACTAACGGTTATAATATAGCCTAAATATAATCTGAATATTTGTTTGAATTCGTTTGTAAGTTTATGAAACATATGGAAATGAAGCTAACAAATAGAAAAATATAGTTGAGTGAATTATGAGTTGTTGAATTTCACTGAAGTCATTAACCTGTCAGTTGTCTAGAGACTGGGTGTTCACACGCTATACGGAATTTCCCGGATCTAATTCCCTCATGCAGAGGTCGTGGGTGCTTACAACTGAGAAGTCACAAACGAAGGGCTTTCAGGTTTTCTATGATGGTCTAATAGATTTACATAAGTTTGGAATTACTTAGTATATTTGTTAAAAATATTCCATCACAGTCAGATACACGAAATGAATGTTCTTATTGCAATTAAGAAACCAAAGGAAAAAACCAAAGCAAAGGAATATTTAACATAATAAAATATACAATAAAAACAATTGTTACTCAACAGATTTACAATATATTCTACTCCCAAAGGAAAAAAAAATACATACGTTATGCTTAGAAAAATCAATTATGCTATAATTCATAGCTTTAGAATACACAGCTACATGATAATTTGATTAGACTAGTGGCGTTAATAAATGAATTTTAATGGCTACTTTGCCACTTATGTAAATTAGTGTAGCAGAAAGTTTTATTAGATAGAGAAACAGTAGTATTTTATTCTGTGAATATTGGGTTAAAACGACTTCTAGATTGATTTTTGTGTAAAAAATAGTGTTATTTTATAGACAGTCTCTGCTTAAAATCAGTGATTAGTAAGTGATAATAGACTAATGAATTATATACGAACGGAAATGTTTTAATTTCTACATTACTAGCTGATTTTTCAAAATTGTCCTTGTAATGACAAACTAAAAATATCAAGAAGCAAAATCTAATTCAAAAAAAGATTGTTCAGTATTTGCTTGATGATGAAAGAATTTATGCATCCGTGATATCAGAAGCATAAAAATATAAATAATGAATATTTCTATACAAATTTGAGCCATTTCGAATCATTTTGTGCGCGGTATACCAAATTACTAATCACTATTAATCTGTTGAAATCAATAGGTGGTTGACACTTCCTAATACAACTTGTAACAAAAGTTGATAAATTCCATGCACTCAAGTAGTATCATTTCGGTTTATCTACCTCCACTTTTACTCCGATCCCTCCACATCGAAATGGCCCAAGTTTCATTTTTTCATCAGATATGTCAAGGTTAATAAATGTCCTGATACTTAAATGAGACCTACGTAACATGTACGTAAACCACCTTATATGGATATCCGCACATAAAATACGTACATGTATTACTAGCTGATGTAAATGACAAAAAATATGCATTCTAGTGAATAACCGTATACTTTCATAAAAAGCTATTTTCAAAGCTTTTTTCTCTCACAAAAACTAATTTATGATAAACTGTTTTTCTTTTCTAAATGCATAAACTTCGGATACATCAAAAAAAAGAACTGGAACAAAGACAGACACACATAGATGTTTGTGAAACTGAAATGGACTAAAAAATTGAATATCATACATTCTGTTATATCGATCCCACGTCTTGCATGCCTATACATACAACATGCGTGTTTCAGCTAAAATGTATGTCATCAATTCATTTAGCAATTAATTACAAGGCATCATACAAGAACAGAACAACTAGACAGAGTTAAGTATAGTAGACAGAAAGAATTTGTAAGTAATGACTAAAATATATAGAAAAAGAATGAGATGAAATGATAAAAGAAACTAGGTAGGTTCATTTGAAGATTAGAAGAAAAACTTTCAAAATCATTCCATCAGAGTTAAATGAAAATAAGCTCCGAATAGAAATAATTTGTTGATATATATATATATATATATATATATATATATATATATTGAATAATGAATAATTAGATGAAAAAATCAGAAGCAAAGTGTTTCAAACAACATATGTATTCGGCACATCAAACAGAATTCAACTTTCGGAAAGATTTACTTCATGTAACTAGCAATATCGAGGGAACTTAAAATACCAAGATAAATAAGTTACTTAATTCAATAAGAGTACCATCTCTATTGGAAGTTGATATGAGTGCGAGAAAAATCACAAGCTACATTTACTGCATAACTAGTGATTAATGAAATCATAAATAAACCTTTTTTAAAACAAACATACATTTGGCAAATTTATGAAGTTCAAAAGCCCTAGCAACCATAGAATTCCCTTTCTTCCTTTATAACCGGAAAAGTGTTTTACGTTCAATTTTTAGCACTTAAAGCAATAACTTATTGAATGCCATACAGAAACATTATTCTCTTTTCCAAGATCCCTTAGAAAATGAGCCGAATCGCTCAAATGTTTCGGGCATGCAGTGACATTAGCCAATAAAATTATTGAAAATTAATAGGCTGAAATTCGACAATCCGTATTTCCGTTGACAATTAATATCTATGGTCTATAGGTTACACAGAACTTGAAATATCTGCGGTCGATCCTTGAAGAGGTAATTAGAGGCAAAATGTTGAACAGTCTCACACTACAACAAAACAATTGCCTACAACTATCCACTTCCAATGGCTTCTCACTTGAAAAGAATTTTAATTATGACACATATCTTTAAAGAAATTTAATTTTTATAGATTTGTAATACTTTTGTCCGCAACCCTTTCTTTATTGAAAATTTTATCATAAAAACCCGTTTGCCTACATATATATATATATATACCATCAGCAGTTTGATTAAAAGAATAAAACTTTAAGTCCCAACAACTAGTAGATGATAAAAATATACCATAATGACAGATAAAATGTGGAAAATATTTTCTGTACTATTTTTTTGTAACTATATCCTCTTAAAACTTTTATTGTAGGAATTAATGTTAATGACACTCGGACTGGGCTAGTTTTATTGCATTCATAATGATAAAACTGTATGAAGTAGTGTAGGTTTGCAGCCGACATTTCAAGTACTAAGCTAATCTGATATTTTTTTAGAATACTATTTAATTGATGATATATTTTCTATTTACGTGAACAATAATCAGAACAGACATTGACATTTCGTTTTGCAAATATCCCGGAAAAAAATTTCATTAATACAGATATATTATACAACCGGCATTGTACAACAATAATTTCACTGATTGAATGTTGACCTTTACATGTTCGCTTCCACAAACATAACTTGTTTCTCGCATCCGTTGTACTGTCAATCTGTTTTATCGGCATATACACACACACACACAGATTATTTTGGATATGAAATTATCTAAATAAGCAAATGACTGTTTGTTTGTACAGTCGAAATGACCTAAAACATGTTAAACAAGCACGGTATTGATGAAAATTAATCAATATGAAGTGTAAATTGGAATTTATAAAAAAATCTATTAAACATAAAATTTTTGATACACTATGCTCATTAGGCAAATGTCACATAGTAATTAAAATAGTTAAACTGAACAAGATTATTTCTACAACATTGATCAATTAATAAATATAGTAAAATTTAAAAAGAGCAAATGAAGATAGCATAACACATTCTTCTATCCTTTATTTCTACCTGAGAATTATAAAGCAGTCAGTTGACTTTCATATGCTGATTCACCCGTAATACATAAAAACATCAATCAGTAATGGAAATCTACTTTCAGTTAAGATTAGTGATGCGAATGATATAATTGGGAAAAAGGAAATAATAAAGATAAAACTAATAGTTGCAAGTGATCAAAAGTTTTCTAGTTGTTAAATATTACAATGGAAGTGTAGAATAACATTAATCATACGGTTTATACACAAAAATTGTGGCTGAAATTGTTAATTGTTTAAAGCCTTACAAGCAAAACAGCAGTGTGTTAGTTTGTACTAATAATATATACCATACATCTTTGATGTATAAAAGCCTATTTCACATTATGTATTAAATGCAAACATGTTTTGCTAGCATTTACAAATGAATATAAGTTTAAACATTTATATATATACTTTGAATATGTAGGGAAAATTTATGTCAACAAAAGTACAAATGTTAATACATTCAACTAAATATGGAACAAATAGCGAATAGATCATATGAATAACAACATTATTTATGTAGATGAGAGAAAAACTTGGTAATTATCACTACATAATTGTAAACTATCTTCATGTACTGCTGATGTCAGCTAAACAATCATTGCAAAAACAGCTATTTCGTCCCAGTATGTGATATCTCTGATCCAAATATAAACTTTAACGATCATATACACGAACTCAACACAAATACCAACTACTGTAAGACTAAGAAAAAATAAGAAAATATCAAAACTTTCTGTAAAGTTGACACTGATCAACCCACTTACTTGTGATCATAAGCTAATTCAATAGTCTTAAAATTTCAAATCGCACATTAATGTCTTTCACTTCCTTAACTTAATGACCTAGTACTTCTTTTCTGCTTTTTTTTTTCATCCTGTACGTAAAGTGATTAATCACCTAATTGATTGTGTGGAAAATCAACACCCAGTTTATTTTATTCCTACGTGTTGCTGTATGTTTGAAATTTACGTTACAATAACACACCCTTTTAGAGAAAGGTAAATAATTATTATTTACTTCTTAAATATGAAATATGTGGCACTAAGATTATTACATGTCAAAATGGGTCGCATATCGAGCAAATGAAACTGGAAAATTCATAATACCTTGGAAAATAGCAATTGTGTCATTGAACATACACCTTGCCCATCGGCTCCTTTTGTAACCGCCAATGCTATAACCGAACTTACGTCACACTTGCTGCGCATTCACAATAAGATACAATAACATAGATAATATAAAATGTGGACTGGACAGTATATTTAAGCAATTAAGCGAAATGAGTTCTAAAGTGAAGTCGCTTGCAAATTCCCCATCAATACACGATGATCCTAAACAGGCACTAAAACACATGTCACCACTTAGGTTACCTTTATCTAAAGACGAGGTTCTCAATAATCTTAAAAACACTATT